AATGCAGTTCAAACAGGCATATATTAAATTGTATGATCCATTTTAAATTCGTTCAATCTGTATAAATTTCTGTTCATATATTAAACTTTTGTTCCTAGGAGATGTTTTTAATGTGATTTAAAATGTTTGACTTTCAAACAGTGGTGAATTTGGTGACCAGTTCATTATTTAAATACATATTTTGTTTATTTAGCATTTACCTTTTAGGATCGATCTGACCTCTAGGTTGACATCCCTGATATCCTTATAGGTTTAATGGTCCGCAGGAGTGATGACGTAGATTTGATTGACATCTGTCAGTTTCACTTTCCAAACAAACGTTGTTTAGTGTGGATAATTTGTATTTTTCATTATTTTTAAATTTTTTTTACATAATCTTTCCGCTTTTTGCAATATCTAAGTTTTCTAATAGTTACTACAACAAGTTTACAAGGTTTTGTAAATAATAAAGCATGTTGTTTTATAAAAATAACAATAAAATGATATTTCATAAAAATAGAACACTGAATTGTGATGGTATTATCGTAAAAAACACTATTCTTAAAAGAAAAAGTAGCAAAAGAAGCAAAATGTTAACTTTATAGAAATTAAAAAGTCTTGAGATTTGACATTTCAACTATGGTTTGGAAAGTAATGACAACAATATGACAGATGTGACGTCACACTCCGGCTGTCCATTGACATCGGCCTTCGCGCTAATCTTCCAGTTTCTAAAGGTAAAGATTTACTTCGTTTAGTTTTAAACAACTAATAGTAGAGTAAACTTTTAGTAAACTAAAATTTGTCGTTTAAACCAACCAACAGATATTTGGGTGATAAAAAAACTACAAATTTAAATTTAAGAAAGAAATGCCAAATTACTTTTCTCGCAATATATTTTCATCTATTTCTTAGGCTGATTTATTATCGATTTTGCATTAGGCTTTTTATTTGTGAGAGTGTTTCACCGATGAGAAAAAGGCAAGATAACCGAATCTGTTCCCAAAGAGGGTTATTTAAGTGTCATAGTCTCTAGTAAAAAGTTTGATTTATTTTATAAAACAAAGGATTTAAATCCTCTGTTAAAATTTTAGTGATAAATTGATAGAATTTTAAAAATGGTGTACAAGTGGTACATCTTTACTTTATTTTACAATCTATTTTTTTATAATAATTTGAATAATTCTTGTATAAAATTACATTTTTTAATATTATTAACAATAAATTAATGCAAAAAATGGAAAAAAGAAAGTATTTTCGAAGAGTGTAAAAAATTTTAATATCTAGCTGAGCACTTTCGGCTTACTAAGCCATCTTCAGAGCTATGGTCAAGTATTTAAGTATCACTAATAGGAGAGATCATTTGGTAACAACATTACAGAAAATTTCTCTTACTGTAGCTGGTTCTATTGATTTATTTATTTATTTTTTTTTTTTTTTATTGAAAATTTGTAATTTGGTTACCAAATGATCTCTGCTAGTAGTGGTACTTAAATACTTGACCATAGCTCTAAAGCTGACTTTGTAAGCCAAAAGGGTTCAGCTAGGAATTAAAAGCTTTTACACCCTTTAAAATACTATCTTTTTTCATCTGAAAGATAAAGAAGCTCTGTGAAAAAAATCTAAAGAAAAAAATAATAGTTAAATTCATAGACGATGATCTTCAGCCTGCTAATTCTGTTTTATATACCACTGGCAAAAGATTCGCAAATAAAGAATCAACAGGAAATGTTAGGACGTTATTGATAAAACAAACAGTGTGTTCCGATTATCGACATATTGACTTATATACAAGTAAACTACCCATAAATAATTAGCTGCAGGGATCCAAAATACAGAAATTGGGAAGGATACTGAACCAAATTGAAAGTTAAAATAGGAAATACAATACAGAGAATGACTCTCTTTCCTGTTGCCGACCATAATGTAACTTCGACTATTCTAAAAAAATTTAAACTGTTTGTCTTTGTGTCATGTAATGTAATGTACAATTTTATGTTTATGACATTCTATGTTTGTTGGAGAGGGTAGGCCAAAATTGACGAAATGCCCCTGAAGATGCTCTAGGAAGCCAAAGTACTTGGGAAAGATTTAATTAATAAAACGGTGCTCGATATCTGCCTTTCATTTGATTAAAGTTTTTTTTCACAATTTTACTTACATTTTTACACAATTTACATTACCTGGAAAAACCGAAGTTTATTTTTATATTATACAAATCCTTGCTTTCTAAATCTAAGTTAAATAACGAAATATACAAATAGTTCTTGATAACCCAATATTAGGGAAATAAAAACGACCTTTCATTGTCCCGTTTGTTTGCACAAGTTTTTATACACTTTTAAACTTTTCATTGTTTGATGACACTTTACCTACAATAATTACATATGCTTAATCTAAAGAAACAGATGAATGTATATTTCAATTTTGTTCCAATTATAATATTTTAAAACGTTAGCAGTTCTAGCGATAAAAAAAACAGCAAAAATATTTTTATGAAAAAAGTTTGTTATTTCTTTTGATTAATGGTTTACAGCCTATCCTTGGTATATTTAAGCTTCCAAAAATTTTCCCTCTTATACCAAGTTAAATTTTTAGTAAAAATTGTCGTAACGATTTTTTGCGATTCTGCGAGTCTCCCAATTACGGAAAAGATCCTCCGCGAAAGTTTTTGTCGATTCCCAGAATGCTGTCTCTATGTTTAATTAAAACATACGAACCAACAAAATTGCATTTGGAGCAATTAGTTGTGAAATTTGTTGTCGGAAACACTCTCTACATCGACACGGATATTTCCGGTTTCTGTGTAATCTAATGTAAAAAGTTGTTGCTTCGGGAACAACACATTACAGAAATTGAGGTATAGAAAGCAAGTTAATCTCAAACATTCTTTATCGATTTTGAAGACCGCAGTTTTGAAGCCAAATGTGATCCACATTTAACAAATATTTTACAATAAACGAAAGAACAAATTTGTCAAAATAAACAAAATGGATTAAAAAGATCTTCTTACTAAAGGTAAATAATAAATAAAAAAAAGTAGTAAAAAAACTTTTTAAGGAAGGGAAGGAAGGAAAGGAAAAGCTGTGATCTAAAATTGGGGAAGAGCTGAAGGAAAGATATACAAGAGTATGGTGAGACCTGCCTTAGTGTATGGTGGTGAAGTGTGGCCTGTTAAGAAGATTCAGCAAAAGAAGATGGATGTTGGGTAAGACTAGAAGGAGCAGAATCAGGAACGACTTAATTAGGAAAAGAGCCAGGGTAAATATAGCATCTAAAACAATTCAAGAAGACTGCAATGGTTTAATAATGTCAGACGTAGAAATTAAAACTATGTGGGCGGGAAGGATAGACCTGTTAGAAGTTTAAAGAGAAGTAGAGGAAAAAAAGCAGAAATAAACTTTTTAAGGGAGGAAATGGAAGGAAAGAAAGATCTATGACCTAAAATTGAGGAAGGGCTGAAAGGAAAAATATACAAGAGTATGGTGAGACCACAGAAAAATTCGGTCCTCCAAGGATGGGGGTTAAGTCGTAAGGCCAGCGACCTTACACTTGTGAAAATTCTACAGTGCTAAAAAACCCAATGAGCCTCGGTTACCGGACGGAAATTACAGTAGACGAAAACAGCTGTAATATACAGGGAATCCGGAACAAGCAACAAGAAATTATGCAGGAATTCGTAAATCGAAAATTAGGTATAGCCATTCTCTCTAAGACCAAGAAAAAAGAAAATGGAAGCGAAAAATTAAAAGACTATGCACATTTCTTCTCAGAAGTGCATTTCTGCTATTTCGACAGTAGTTTCAAACAAAATAATTGATGAAATTAGACAAACACGCTTCATTGCCATTATTTTAGATGAAACAACTGATGTTACGATTTGATAGTACGATTTGTTAATACAGACGGAATTACACAGAAAAGATTTTTCGGCAGACGCATTATGTAAAATTGTTTGTGAACTTTTAAAATCGATTAATGGTAATGACAAGTTAATTGCCCAAAGTTATGACGGCGCTGCGGTTATGGTTGGGCATTTGGGGGGTCTTCAATTGAAAGTGCGAGAAACATGTCCTAGTGCGATATTTATACACTGTTTTGCTCACAAACTAAACTTAGTTTTATCCCAATCGGTCATGCAGATCAAAGAATGCAAAGTTTTTTTGCAACTTTAAGTGGAATGGCTGTTTTTTTTTTCTAAATCCTCTAAACGAACTCAAGCTTTAGATACAATTGTAAAACGACGACTACCAAAAGTTGCGATGGTTGTGAAAAGTGACGCGATGGAATTACAACGGCAGACTAGTATTAACAGTCTTAGGCGCGCCGCACATTCAGACGCAGGTGACGCAGGCAACGCAGCGTAGGACAGCACAGGTTTCTGTTTTTCGTATAATTACATTACCCCGCGCGAATTGGAACGCAGGGCAGGGCAGCACAGAACTGTGTTTAAGAAAACCTGCCAGCGCAGTCGTCCGGACACAGATTCCTGTGCCACGTGCAGAGCAGTTTGTTTGTTTCTAGTAAAATTTTGTGTGGTTATATTTAAAATGAATGAACAATTAATCGCATTGGTGAGAAGCTAGAGAATTCTTTACGATATCAACGATCCCAATTATTTAATTAAGATAGTGAAGATGAAGACCTACAACAGGAAGACTCCATAGTTGATCCAGAGAGTGAAATTTTTGACGAGGTGACCAGCGACATTCGACATGATACCGAAGAAATCCAGAGTGTTAAAAATGACATTGTTAATGAGCCGTCTACGTCTGGTATTATTATACAAAAAATAACGAAAAAGAAAATACCAAACGTAAGGCAACTGAAGACCAATCAATCACAACCAAAGCAGCTAAAAATAAGAAACCTAAAAATGATGATATACAGGAAGTGATAAACCAGTCAATTATGCAACGTCAAAAAAGGGCCGAAGAAAGAGCAGTTCAAAGGGCAGCATAGAAGCCTTTGGATGATGATCTCTATCATTTTTATATGTCGATGTACAAAATAACCAAAAAATGCCTCCTAAATTTCAACATCGTGCAAGAAATGATGTGTTCCAAGCTATATTGCAGCTCGAAGCTGCATATCTAGAAATTCATGATCCCAGTCAAGAAAACTACACTCATAGTGAACAAAGAGTTTTTACAAGTGCATATGTTAATACCCATATTCAGCAGCCCCATTACTCGTCAACACCTCTTCCATCACCAAGTTCCAGTCACAGTAGCCAGCATATTGAGAATCAACATTGTAATAATCCTCTAGCTCCTATTCCCAACAACTCTTTTTATGCTCAAATGATTACAACTCTAGAAGCACCAGTAATTATTCATCTACTACACTCACCCCCACGTTGTCTGCTGAGATATCTCCCCAAACCGTTGTTACTGGTAATATTCGTAATTTTGTGGAAAATTGTAGAGTATAGAATTATGATTGTTTAAAATGATATTTTAAAAATAATAAACTAATAAATAATAAATTTTTAAATTTAAAAATAATACCTTCAAAAAACAGCTAGTTTTTCTTTGGTTCCTATTGGTTTTTGGGCATTACACACCATCTGAATAAATACTGTTTTCTATTATATTATGTACTTCATCAACTTGTTTTCTGCTTAACCGAAAATAATTTAAATAACGAGACTCAGACTGGATTTCTTCGGTATCATGTCGAATGTCGCTGGTCACCTCGTCAAAAATTTCACTCTCTGGATCAACTATGGAGTCTTCCTGTTGTAGGTCTTCATCTTCACTATCTTAATTAAATAATTGGGATCGTTGATATCGTAAAGAATTCTCTAGCTTCTCACCAATGCGATTAATTGTCCATTCATTTTAAATATAACCACACAAAATTTTACTAGAAACAAACAAACTGCTCTGCACGTGGCACAGGAATCTGTGTCCGGACGACTGCGCTGGCAGGTTTTCTTAAACACAGTTCTGTGCTGCCCTGCCCTGCATTCCAATTCGCGCGGGGTAATGTAATTATACGAAAAACAGAAACCTGTGCTGTCCTACGCTGCGTTGCCTGCGTCACCTGCGTCTGAATGTGCGGCGCGCCTTAAGCTCGGTACACATATACGAGCCAAACGGTATGCCTACGGTATGCGACCGCTATATTCGTTAATATGTACGGCAGAAAAAACTTCTTGCGTACTGTATGCGTGACTCGTCGCGAACCAAATTATTGCGGTTTATTCCACGACTTCAAAAGAAGCTCGTGTTTCAGTTTGGACTGCGCTACTATAAGCAGCGAACATTTTTATTGTCTTATCAAATCGACATTGTGCGAATGACGTGTTTCTTCCTAGAGAGACGTGAGAAAACAGTAAACTGATTATTGTACATTTTTTATTAGAGATAATAAACAGAAACACAATAAATCAGTACCCAAATTATAAATAAAATGAATCATTTCGCACATGTGTGTTCGTTGTTGGTTTCATCGCTTTCCATGGATCAAGATAAGTATGCGATCAGTACGATGTAGATAAATTTTCAAGGATCTGTATGCGTGCGGTACGTATACCGTTTGGCTCGCATATCTGTACGCGCCTTTAGAACACCGCGATTCTTTAATTGAATAATTATTTGAGAGTGTTTTGGAGAATGGTGAAAAGTGGGATACGGAAACCATAAATAGCTCGAGAGGATTTTTGGATAGTTTAAAAAATAATTTTAATTTTAATGTTTTAATCTTGCTTTTTCTGAAATATTTCCATTCTCAGATATTTTATTTAATGCACTATAATGCAAGATAAACGATATTGGCTTCTGTATAAAAAAAAATTAACGAATTTAAAGATATTATTAACAACAAGGAGAGATGACTTTGAAAAATGCTGGAATATTATGATGGCAAGAAGTTTTGAACCTAAAAGGAAACGTATATGCACTGATAATGTTGGAGATATTGAATCGTGCTACCTCCGACTATGTTATCAGATTTTAGACCAAATATACCAACAAATAGAAAATAGGTTTAAGAATTTTGATGACCTAGACTTTCTTGAGCTGTGCAATTGTAATACATTTAAAAAGCACATTTTCCTGAAAAACAAATACACTCCGCGTCATAGAAAACGGGCCACCCCAAATATTTAAAATATTTTCGAAATTATTATTTATTGCTACAAAATTAAGTATTTATTTTTTCGTATATTGAATCAATAACTCGTTTAGTATAAAATTTCATCATTATCGTAAAACATCAACCAAAAATAAAAAATTTAAGAGAAATAGGAAATTTATTGAAAAAATCAACTTACAGTTTTTAAAACAATAATGAACTGTATATTAAAAATAAAGCTGGTATCCATTTTCAGTAATGGCTATTGCCACCTCGATTCTGGATGACACTCCTCATTCGATTTGGCATGGAATTTATAACGTTTTGGTTATCTCTTTGGTGAAAAGTGGCCCATTTCTCAATGAGTGCCATCTGGAGCTCTCCAAGTGTTGTTGGAGCAGGTATGCGACGCCTAACGCAGGCGACTTTTTAGCAGGCTCCATATATGTTCAATGGGATTTAAATCGGGGCTTTGAGCAGGCCAGTCTATTTTTTGAATACCAACCTCGTCAAGGTACTCCGTTCCTATCCTTGCCGTGTGTGGTCTCGCATTATCCTGCATTAACAGGAATTCGTTGCCAATAAATCCAGCATAGGGCATCACATGATGTTGTAAGATTTCCGTTATGTACCTTACTGCTGTTAACGCACCTCTGTCGATCACGACGAGATCCGCATCAAAAGAAATCCCTGCCCAAAACATTACTGAACCACCACCAAAAGTAACCTGTGGTGCCCGAGTGCAACCAGCGAAACGTTCTCCAGCTCGTCTGTATACCTTACTACGTCCGTCTTTACCATAAATAGACATTCTAGACTCATCCGTAAACAATACTTTTTTTCAATCGTCTGCTATCCAATTGATGTGCTCACGGGCAAAATCTAGTCTTCGACTTTTGTGAGCTGGGAAAAGTAAGGGTCCCGTTGCTGGACTGCAAGCTGTCAAACCTTGCTCCCTTAATCTTCGCCGAATAGTAGAAAGACTGATTGCTGGTCCTTGAGCTTGCTGTAAATGGCCTTGAAGCATTCTAGCGGTTTGGGTCCGATTCCGTAATGCAGCAAGAAAGACGACGCGATCTTCCCTAGCGGTTATTTACCTTTTTGGATTCGTACCAGGTCGTCGTTGGTGAGATCCTGTGACAATAAATCGTTGCTGGGTCCTTTGTACAGTCGAACGACTAACATTCGATTGTCTTGCAACTTGTCTTTGACTTAATCCACTTCCCAGTAACGTTACAATTTCAACCGATTTTTGAAAATGCTCCATGGTTATTAACTGAAGACTACTCCACACTAAGTCGGCTAATGTAATACTGAGATGCGTTTAAAACTCATTAGAACCCTTTACAATATCAAACATTTCTCAAAACAATCGCTTCTTCTAAAATTGATCAAGTTGTAAACAACTTTTAATATGTTACAAATAATGTTAATTCAATATACAATAAATTAAATGCTTCATTTTGTAGCAATAAATAACAATTTCGAAAATATTTTAAATATTTGGGGTGGCCCGTTTTCTATGACGTGGAGTGTAAAATTTTTCATACGTCTTTATGGACAATATTTTGATTTGATTTCATTACCTTCTGAGCTAACAGCTTTATACGAAACTGAAGACATTGACACAAAAAATAATGCCAATGAGTTACTAACGTTTTTAAAAACAACTTCTTTGGACAAAGCATATTAGGAGGTAGTGAAATTATGTGAGTTAGTACTGACCATTCCAGCTACTAGTGCCTCTGTAGAATGTAGTTTTTAACACTAAAACAAATAAAGAGTTACTTAAGAAACTCGACAGGACAAGTTCGACTCTCTAAAGTTTCCCTTTTGGCAATTGAAAATAATCTGGTTAAAGAAATGTCACAATATCCAAGTTTTTACAATGAAGTTATAGACGAGTTTGCGAAAAATGGTAGAAGAATTGTATTACATTATAAATAGGTGAGTTTTTGTACTTTTTTTTATAAATTCCTTCCCTTGTTTTAAATTTCACCGCACGCCCCTAAATTTGACGAAGAATGTATAACTTTGAGCAAGTGATGACAATGATGATGAGTAACACTAAGTAAGACTGCTTTTTTACACCAAGTTTTCCTTTATATTTTTTTATCAAATAGTAAAATTTGAAGCAATAATATAAGTCGTTTATCGAAAAAAATAAGCAGTTAAGAAAAATTCTTACGTCAAATAGATTTTAAATTAGATATTAGAATATACCTAGTTTTTAATTCTCATAACTTTTTTAATATTGTAAAAGTAAAACTTTGTAAATTTAGTAACTTCTTTAATATTCTAAATATATTTAAATATTCATACTTTAATTCTTGAGCAAAATTCATCATTATGGAAAAGTTCAAAGTAAAAATGATTTCAACTTTTATAATGTAAAGTTGCATCCCTGGAAAATATCCTGACACGTTTACTTTCCCATATACTCTTTACAAACTTTTATTTTATCCCCTTTGCGTGACCCAAGTTAAGTATATATAAAAAAATCCTGATTTTTTGTGATCTTGTTTTGTTTTATATTCTTTTGTTTTTTGGTTGATTAGATTAGGAATTTGAGAGAATGAGTGTGATTTTTTTCTTTATAAATAATATATAAAGAATAACAATAATGGCATTGCTGATTCATCAAATGCACTGTCTATGTATGTAACTGACTAATGTTTTAACTCCTTGGTAGGAGATTCGAGAAAAAATCCAAATATTTTTACATTATTGAAAGAAATAATTGATAATTACAGGGAAAAAAACAAAACTGAATTGTTTTGTATGTCTAAAATAGCCGATTATTCCTAAAAAATAATTAAATATTGATAACATGATGTTACAAATTCATCTCATGGTAAATCGCAACAGTTTTTTTTTATTGCAATACTTACACACCTCACATGTGCTACATTTACTGTGAGAACGTGACTATAATTACTACAATACTCACACCGGCCTCTTCTATCTTCGTATTTGACCCAGTGGCTCCCCCTATTACCTAAACGTATGTCGTCTACTCTACGTCAACCAATCGCCTGTAGAAAGAGTGACGCACTACAACTACCTCGGCACCAGAATAAATGAAGAATGGACCAACAACCAGGAGATTAGAGCACGCATCGGAAAAGCTAGATCCACCTTCAATCGGATGTGGGCCTTCTTCAAATGTCACAACCTCTCTCTTGATACAAAAGTAAGAATACTGCGATGCTACGTCTTCTCTGTCCTTTTTTATGGTGTTGAATCATAGAGAATTTTCCTGAGACCTCAGAAGAGGTCCTCTGAATAAGAACCGAGAGGTACTGACCACCACGAAATCTCGAAAGCTACAATTCTTCAGCATATTATACAAAATGAATCCAGATATGCT